CGGCGTAAAAAAAATAGTAAAAAGTAATTTTCAATCATGTCTAATTAAAAACATAGACTTTTAATAATCTTCATTAAATTGATATAATTAAGCAAAGCAATGCTAGAAAACTAATTTCATTTTCAATCTCACGATTTGATTTATTTCAGAAGTTATGCTATAATCTCAAACGATGTTTTCAGACTTGGATTCCATGCTCTACTGGGATGGAGCGAGGACAATTGGATTGTTATATGGGCAATGGTACTTCCTTTTTTATCAGAAGCAAATAATCTCTTAGGCTTCATTCTGTGAAAAATTCAAACTTAGAAAAATTACAGTCTTGTGTGTATAATCGGAATAGTACAACATTTTACAGGATGTCGAGACATTATATAGTATGTCAAAAACATGACGACAAGCAGGAAATGATTAAACATTTAACACATAGACTGTGCTCTCGAATATTCCATAAGATGTTAAATGATGAAACCGCTAAGCATGAATCAAATTAGTCAATATATAAAATGCTTAGGAATGAATATATATATAATGTCGGCAACATAATTAATAAACCTGCCTAATTCCAGTATTTTTTTCTTAAAATTTAATTTGCATTTTTGAAAAATATACCTATTTTAAATAATAGTTATTCATAACCTTTTCTTATACTTTGCCTAAAGAGCATTCTGTTGAATACTTGTAGGAATTATATGAATTTCAATGTTTCAATTGAGAATGACAATTCATTAACAATTTGAATTCATTCTCTTCTGATTTTATACACTTCCATTGGCTATCTTAACCTCTAGTCATGAACATTATTAATCATGTCCCTGCGAATTGACTCCAGTATAACTTCAGATATTAGTTGAGTCAGACATTCGTTGAGTTCAGACATTAGTTGAGACATTAGCCACGTCGTGTTGTGGCATTTCTGCGTGATCGAGAAAGCCCTGCTCAATATTAAGTAAGCGTAGTAAATTTTTTTTTACTATTTAGTGCAGTAATCACAAAGGTTTTAAGTTTCTCATCACAAAAAAATAAAAATAAAAAAACTAAATAACTAAAATAAAATTTCTTAAAGAAAGTGAAAATATGTATGGTTTAACTCTGATATATACTTTCTTTTCTATTTCTTTTTTTTTCTTCAATTTTTTATTAATATTGATAATATTAAAAAAAAAGTGTTTCAAGATTCATTCATAGGAAAATTTTGTTTTCTGGGGTTGTTTAAGTTTCTTTTATCATTTAAAAGAACTCAATAACGAATTCAAACAATTGCAATGAACTATTGCAAATCATCAATGTAGTTCATAACTGTTGAATGAGGTGACTGATCGGAATAGATAGAATGTTGTTATAAACGCATTTTGATGTTAGTTTCATAAAACGTTTGCTTTATGGAACTAACTAAACTAACTTTCACTTTTTCAAAAAAAAGTGAAAATATGTATGGTTTAACTCTGATATATACTTTCTTTTTCTATCTCTTTATTTTCTTCGATTTTTTATTAATATAATAATTCCTGATATAAAAAAGAAAGTGTTTTGAGATTCATTCATAGGAAAATTTTGTTTTCTGGGGTTGTTTAAATTTCATTTATCATTTAAAAGAACTCAATAATAACGAATTCAAACAATTGCTATGAACTATTGCAAATCATCAATGTAGTTCATAACTATTGAATGAGGGAAAGTGACTGATCGATATAGATAGAATGTTGTTATAAATGCATTTTGATGTTAATTTCATAAAGCGTTTTGCTTTGTGTTATTTCTTTTTTGATAAAAGCAATCAATTTTGTGCCATGACATCGAATATTGCATGTGTCAAGCAATGCTCCAGTGGTTATTATTATAAAACTAAATGACAAGTCTGTTTCTTTTATTTCCCTTCCTTTGTTTCCTTTATGAATTATAATATCATCAATGTTCTCAGAAAACGTATGCCATATAAACTCATTTCTTTTTTGACGCAAATTATATCTAATTATTCAATAATTTACCGTTAAAATTTATCAATAGCAGTACGTATTAAACGTTCAGTTACTAATTGAATTTATTATTTTCAAGCTTGATTCTAAAGCAGTTTTTCGAAATGTAAACAACAAAAATATTAGCACATTTGTTCATTTAATTGCATTTTAAAAATATTTTAGTAAATACAACTGTAAAAATGCTTGTTATTAATGCGTTAATTTCAGTTTTTTAGCATGCTAAATGGCATGTTAACCATTTGTTATAACACTGTTAATAGAAATACAGTAATATATATAATAAAATGGAATTGTATTTTTTTTAATTTTTGGCTATAACAATTTTTAATCAATATTTTTGGTTAAATGGTTTGGTTAAATATATTTGGTTAAATTTATTAGAAATTTTTTATGCCAAAAAATTTAAAAAATTTTTATGAAAGTAATTTTAAAAAATTTGTCTTACTTTATTTAAATAGTAAATAATTATTCAAATAATACAGCAGTTGTCCTAAAAACTACTTATCTTCTTTTAATTAATGCCTAGTAGAAAATTTTTAAATGAAATATAAATTAAATATTACATGTAATATTATAATATTGATTGAATACATTTTTATAAAAAAAAGAAGCAATTTAATCTATTAGCCCTTTGTATCACCACGTTACATATTTGAAACATACATGAAAATTCAATCATATAGTGAGCTGAATTTACCTATAAAATCGAACCAAATTCAGGTTAAGAAAACATTGCAAACTCGAGGGAACACTTGATTATATATTTGGCTAAGGAGGGATTGAAAAATGTGATGTGAGACTTTGTTACCAACAATTTCAAAATTTTTCACATGAAGTTTTAAATATATTAGAATTTTTGTGCTATTTTTCACGATATTGGAGATGTNTATTTTTTTTAATTTTTGGCTATAACAATTTTTAATCAATATTTTTGGTTAAATGGTTTGGTTGAATATATTTGGTTAAATTTATTAGAAATTTTTTATGCCAAAAAAGTTAAAAAAATTTTTATGAAAGTATTTTTAAAAAATTTGCCTTACTTTATTTAAATAGTAAATAATTTTTCAAATAATACAGCAGTTATCCTAAAAACTACTTATCTTCTTTTAATTAATGCCTAGTAGAAATTTTTTAAATGAAATATAAATTAAATATTACATATAATATTATAATATTGATTGAATACATTTTTATAAAAAAAAGGAGCAATTTAATCTATTAACCCTTTGTATCACCGCGTTACATATCTGCAACATACATGAAAATTTAATCATATTGTGAGCTGGATTTACCTATAAAATCGAAACAAATTCAGGTTAAGAAAATATTGCAAACTCGGGGGAACCAAGTCTTGGTGCAGCTGCCAATATTATAATGCGTTCAGCAAGATTTGTTCCACGACATAATTGCAGGATATACAATTTTTTTACAACAATCCCCTTGATTATATATTTGGCTAAGGAGGGATTGAAAAATATGATGTGAGACTTTGTTACCATAAAAACAACAATTTCAAAAGTTTTCACATGAAGTTTTAAATATATTAGAATTTTTGTGCTATTTTTCACGATAGTGGAGATGTTCAACAAATGCTTTTTATCAATAAATTTTTAATTTTAAGGTCTTAATTTTTCAATTATTTTTTACACGCTTAATATGATGTATTCTAACATCCGCGTAAATATTTCTTAAATCAGAGTTAGAAAGGGTTAAACAATTAATAATTACATTTTTAAGGAACAAAAAAACATATTTGTTCTCTTATCATATAATAATTCTCGAGGGATGTTATTAATAAATTTAAATAATTAAAATTTCCTAAAAATAGGTTGTGAAACAAGTCACCATGAATGAAAATTGCTCTTTTTTTGACGAATTTCATGAAGCACTTTTTCGGAAGAGCTACCCGCACAAGAAGTTGTACACATCTCCTTTTATTTTATTTATATACAATAAATAATAAGAGTCACATAAGTAGAAAGTGTATTAGAAAAAAATGTTTTCAATTTTAAAACAGCAACTTGGAATTTAAGCAAATACTCCGAGAAAGCAAATCATGTGATTTTTGATATATATTCGTTTCATAGAAGTTTAAATATGACTCTTCAAAAATTTATTCACTTCGTAAATATTTTGAAAAGTCCCATCAGAAACGCTTTAAATTTTATGAAATTATAAAAGCTTCATATATTTAGCATCTTGAAATTTTTTTATAAACTGCAATGTTCACTTCAAGCATTAAAAATTCAGACTTAATTCGGAATAATTTTGGTTTACGTTTTTTTACCATGTTACAATATAATCCCACTCTCTAATTCCTTTGAGAACTTTCAACATTTGGTGTGTCTGTCGATGAAACTCTACATGCTGTTAATTTACTTTTTCAATGTTCTTATTTATACCACAGTTTCAGTTTCATGAAAAGATGTGACTAATTATCATTTGGCAAATATGTTGTCCTGAAACTTTGTATCCTCACTGTGTACGAAAGAAAAATGAATGTAGTTTTCTCTTACGAATTTTAAGTGAAACCTTAATTAGAAGTAGAGACTTGGCACGCTTTCAGTTTCCATGGCGGAGAAAAAAATTCAAATTAAGATATCATACTAGAGATCAAGCAACATAAAAGCTGTTTGGTTACGCGTTGTCAACAAAGTCAGAATGTTAAGAAGATATTTTCATAAAATGGAAGGACAAAAAAGTATTCTAAAAATTATTGCATGCTTAACTTTTTGAAAATCCTAAAATACGGGTAAATTATTTCTTGACATTTTTCGACCGTATAAGCAAATTTTTTTTAAAGATTTTACTCGAATTTTTTATTTATAATTCCGCTATCCATATAATGTCTTATTTCCTAGAGCAGATAAAAACATTTTGAAATTAAAACATTTCCATAATTCTTTTATTAAATTGGATAGTTGTCGATAAAAGCAAGTATCTAGAACAGTAGAGGGTATAAAACAGATTTAAAAAAAAAACTTGGAGCAGAAGTTAGAAAAGTATACTACGTGTAACGCCATGTATTCTCCAGGAATGGATGTTTTGCATGGTTTACTATCGTATTCATATAAAACTACAATTTAAATAGCTATTAAAAGAGTGAATAAGACGCTAAACATGTGTAACTTCGATAATGAAAGATTCAAACCTGAAGACATTTGCTAACAACTTGCTTGATAGCTCCTTCAATTTTTATCCGATTAACGATTATTTTACTCAGATGTAACTGCATGTTTGCTTTGAATCTATTTCTGTAACATGTCGGGATTTTTTTTAAATTTTTTTAACAGAAAAAAATATTTTCAAGAGCCATCAGAAGAAAAAAGATTCAAGATTCAAAATTTATCTCTTATTTTTCATCCAAAATTGCAAGTTTAATCGAAATTCCTGAATTAGTACACTGAGAAAAAAAGTATAGTAAGTAAAAACAACCAGAATATGGTAAAATTTACCCTATGTCTAGCTCTATGGGAAAACCAAAAAGCTCAATGGTAATGATTTTGGTGAAATTTACAATAAAATATGGTTTTATAATATGTGATAAAATTTGGTAACGGTGGTAAAATTTGATAATTCTATCATGATACCTTAAAGCATATTTTAAAAACCCTTATTTGGTTAAATTTATTTTTCAGTTTTGTATTTCTTATTGAATATGTGATAATAAGAACTATAGTTTTGAAAACCCAAATTTCTGGTAAACAATGACCAGATGAACGAAAAAGTACCAAATGAATGCTTTAAATACCGTATATTTTGATTTTATTAACCAGAATTACGTTTTTTTACCATAAATTTCTTAACCAAAAATTCTGGTAATTTTCCAAGAATTTGTTTCTCTACGTTTCTCTACACTAGGTTCAAAGCTAAGAGAATTTTCAGATTTGGTCGATTATTCGAATTATTCAAATCAAATAGCCAATCAATACAGTTTTAATATGTATACATGATCGAACATAAAACTTCTCTGAGTCAAAATATATGCAACAGTGGTCCCAAAATAGAGCTCGCAAATGAGTAACTAGGAGGTATCACCTAGTACGGATATACAGATCTTACAAAATGATGTCTGACTAGAAATAAAACAATTTAGAAGTTTCTGTTGCTATTGTTCTCCCTTGTTCAGCAGCGCTATTTTTAAGCCCAAGGAGGTTTTCGACAAGGAATTATGATTTTCAATAATCCTCCCCAGAGCGTTTCAGACTTGGTCCAAGAGGTTGACGTATGGTGATCTAGCTGGCCTTCCACTTTTCAGGAAATCTTCGACCAGAAGAGCTTCATGTGACCACAAGTAGTTATCCTTTTAAAAAAAATCAGAGTTAACTGCGCATATGTGAAGGGAACATGGAGCTCTTAAACTCAATTTCTAAACCTCATACCGAAGTGTCATACTCAAAGGTATGGAGGAATTTGACATCATTCAATAAGAAGCCTTCCCGAATCATCAAACTTTCACTAGCATAATAGTCAATTTCTTGGTCCTTCCAGGCGGTGCTGGTTCAATTGATTCATACCTTCATCTGGAAAGAGCCAAGAATCTACTGTCTGCCCTCCAACTTATATTCTGATGTTGTTATTGTCATCTGTCGGATGATTGTTCAATATACATAATTAAAATTATAGCATATTTTGTATATTTCCTTCTTTTTTAATTCCTGTTGATGAAAATGGTTTAACGCATTTTAGATTAGAAATGAAACAAATCTTTCTATGTAATCACAAAAATCCTCCAAGAACAGCAAAATGCAATTTTTTTTCGGAACAATAAGTTATTAAGCTTGTGAACTGAACTGTGATCTAATAGTGCTGCTAAAAAAGTTTTAATCTATTTAAATTATATGTTTGTATTTTTAACTATCTGGTTGACAGGAAAGCCATGGGAAAAATTACAACTTTACATTCGAAATAAAAATATTATTTAAGCTTTTTTTTTTTTTGCTGTTAATTCTCATAACACTTTAACATTTTAGCAGGCAAAAATTAAAGAAGGGAACAACTTTTGTTTTTGGTAAAAAAATGTGGATGACTGTTCAGTTAAAAAAAATTATGAATGAAATAGAATGGTTTGGTATAATTGACAATTAAAAATAATAGTGTTAAAGAAGTGTAGAAATGTATATAAAAAAAACTTTTTTGAATTGCTAAAAGCAAAACAAAAATATACAAACGCGTTCTCAGTTTTATACAATCACCCATTAATATCATGTGTTTATTTTATAGATTTGTCTTGTGAAGAAAACGAAAGGATTGCAGGTTCAGCCAGTGACTGTAAGTAGATAAATGAAACGTTTGTTTTATTTTATTTTATTTTTTTTAACAGTCGTTGAACAGCAGACCCAATATTTTGGATTTACGACAACTAATGTTCAAATAGCCTTGTAATTTTGAACCCAATCCAGAAGACAAGAGAACTCCTGAATCAAGCATTTGGAGAAATACTTGATTCAGAAGTAATTTCACACTATAAGCATATCATGGATATAGGACTAAAACTAAATAATTCAATATTTTTCGACTTCGAATTATGTATGAATTTTCTGTCAATGAATGTCATGAAATCCAACTTTGCATATAATACCTAAAATTAACTGGGAAAATATGTAATTATTATTGCTTAAGCATTTAATTGAATGACTTATAAAAAACTTACAATCATTCTTAACAACAGACGTGCAAAGTATTGAAAAATTCTCATGGTTTTAAACTTAGCCTTAATAGCTTTCGTTATTCTGTGGAATTAATAAACATTTTATAAAATTTTTATTCATATATTAACAGTAACCTATACATTTTTTTGTAATAGCTTATCTAGTAATAACTATGGAATATTATTACTAGGTAAATCTGCAACTAATTTAATATGAAACCTAGTGGTGAGTATTAGAACCAAGCTATTATAAAAACGTGGCATAACTATTTTTCCAAAACAGTTGTTTCTTAATAAAGCCGCCGTGGTTCAGGAGATAGAGCTCTCGCGCCTTAATGAGGTGAGCCAGGTTCGAATCCTGTTATTGGCTGGGCAATGCGACTTCAGCTTCCGGCTGCTATTTTCCAATCCAGCGGCATTTAACGACTCGTTCTCCTGAATGGCATTTTTCAAAATAAAAAAAAGACTTGATTCTCGACTTATTTTTAGTTCAGGTAACAAATTTTAAAAGAAATGAAATCTTGCATTATAATTACGACCAACTGCAACAAAAATGAAAATCTCCAAAAAAGAGAGTGAGTCGTCGAAGACTGCTGGATTATAAATTAGCCTCTTACGTTGCAACAACCGGAGTATACATAAAATATCCTCAGTGGTAGATGGTTAATGAATTAGAATGCCCTTACCGTCGGGCTATCTATGTGAGATTTTCATGGTTTTCTTCTAAGTGTATTTAAAATGCTGGCGAGTTCCATCAAAAAGTTCCCCACGAAGACTAGTTTGTTCCACTGCTCCCAATGAAGTGACCCAAACTCAAATTTCAGCAATGACTGTTCCCGGCTCGCAACGACCACAGCGCTGACATAAATTATCCTCAGTTGCAGGCGGATCATGGGTTAAAATCCCAACGAGATTTTCCTTTCTATGTAACACAAATGCATGTTAGTTCCATCAAAAACTCCTTCACTAAGACTAGTTAGCCCCAATGTTTCATCCGGGAATTCCCTTGTCTTCTGGATTGGGTTTAAAATAACAAGGCTACAGAGTTAAACATAGATAGTCGTAAGCTGTTTAACGCCGGTTATAAAATAAAATATACTCTTGATGTACCAAAACTAGGATAAATGAGATAGTTAAAACGACAATTTTACACAGACATTTTCTTTAAGCAGTATTTTAGTTTTAAAACACCTTGATCTATCTTTTATCCCCATTAAATTTCTAATCGCTAATGCCCTCATTATTTTCCAGGTCTTCTTCTTTTTCTTTTCCACTTGAACAAAGAAGAATTAAGGGTGGCAGTAATTCTCCGGTTGACTATTAAAGTAAGTATTTATTTAAATTTTCGTTTTTAAACCACAATGTAGAAGTGCGGAGACAGTGACATACTTTTGTCTGACGTAAGCATGAACTAAATTTAAGTCCCCTTTAGTATCGCTTGTCTCGATGCTATCCTTAGCCAGAACAGCAAGATTGACACCCACCACTCGTTTGTCCCGAAACAATCGTTTGGTGAAAATTGATAATAATTGCTGAAAATATGCAATAGAACACGTGAAAAAGCTTGCTTTATTAAATGAGATAGCTGGAATATTAATCTTGAATTAATTATAATTTTTTTCTTCGACTGTTGTCTTCAAATGTGAATGCACATGGAAACTCAGCTCTACATTCCATATTGTAGATTTTAAAAAATATCATAATTATTATTTTAAACTGCAAGCAAATAATAGTTATAATTGATTTGTAACCCAAAAAATGTCATCTCGCATGATATATTTTATTCAAAAATAATATATATTTTAATGAAGAAAAAAACACATTTTGTGAAAGAAACGATAGGAAATTTTTCAGGAATCATTTTTTAATCAAAAATGTGCAATTTTATTACAAAAATATTTTAAATCATTCTTGAAAGATTTCGGTACGTGTGAGTTTATTTGATTTCGCTACTCGCTTTATAGATTTCCTTTTGTGTTTTGTTCTGTATTCTCTGTTTTTTGTTTGATATGTTTCATTTCGTATATATTTTTTACTAAATCAATTTTCATTTCAATTTTTTAATACTCCTAACACTTCTGTATTGATATATTTTGTTTTGGTTACATTGATACAATATTAGAAAGCACGTTTTTACGGATATAATCGTGTTAGCTGATGAACAGATTATATCTTTTCATTATTTTGTTTTCTGGCTTTTTAAATTTTTTTGAAATATTTTATTTTAATAATTTTTCTTCTTCTCTTTTCATTAATCTTTATTATTTTCCATGTTTTCTCAATATTTTTAACTTTTATGCGCATTAACTTAACATGTGCATTTCTTAGTTTAAATAAAGCTCTTTTTTTTTCATATAGCAAAGCTGGGATATAAATTTCAATTTTAGACTAATTACCTATTTTAAAGCTGGTTTACTAGGTCTAAAAGTTGTAATTTCATATAAAAATTTCTAGCATTTTTTTGGCAACAGACTTGATATTTTATAGCTTCATGATGGCTTTTAAAATCTTCACAGGTCTGAATTTTAATTCAATCTTGATGCTGACGATTAAAACATGTACAAGATATACAGAGATGTGCAGTTGAGTCGGAATAAACCGGTACGATGTTCCGGTACTATTCTGCTAACCGGAAAGAGAACAGAATGAAATATTTCGAGAAATTTTTAAAGTATTGCTCTAAAATGAAGTAAAAATAGCAAATTATTGATTGTGAATAAATATATATAAAGAAATCAAAGGAAAAGTATGTGGTTTGTTTCATACTACTGTATATTACTGTTATTTGAAAACAATCGACTTCTCATTTCTTTAAAAATTTTATAAGAAATTCTTGCAACACATTATAGAATAACTTTGTGTAAAAGGAACATAATTTTTGGAAAATCTTTTATATTTTCTATCTTTTATGCTTTCAAAATTAGACTTTATTTCACAATACTAATTGTTTTATTTAAAAAAAATGCTTTAAAGCATGAAAAAGAAAGCGTGTTATGAAATTGACGATTTTATAAAACGAGGTTCTTATGGAATCATTGCTAAATTTTATTTGATAGAAAATTAATAAGTGAAAGAAGTGAAATAAAATTACTATTGAAAAAAAATTATTTCTAGGGCCTTTTTTTTTTAAATTTCAATACTAAACTTCAATACTAAGTTTCAGAAAAAAATAAAACATTGTAAAGAAACTTTATGAATAGCAAACTATTTGAAAACTTAGTATTTAAAACTTGAATATATACTTAGTTTATAGGATTCACAAAATTTAAAATCTACTTTTTAATATTTTTTGTTGAGATTAAAATATATGTGAAGAATTATCTTATACTTAAGTATTAGAAGATAATAACTCTAAGCTGTGCCTCAAATAATTGCATTTCAAGCTGTAAGCTCCCCAGAAAAGAAATCTGTTTTTTTTAATTTTTTTTATTTATTTATTTATTTATTTATTTTTTTGCTAAAGCAACAGGATTACAAAAAATATTTTATAAAATATTCAATAACATTGATTTACACAATAAAAAATTCCGAATTAAGTAAAAAGGTAAAAAGTACTGACACCCTGAGTGCAGCATCCGTAAAATTTCTGATTGGTAAGGCCAGGTTACCTATTACCCTACCCCCCGCCGGGTCTCATTACGCTTCGATGTTCTCGCTACGATCCGACGGAGTTATTATGTATTATGATTATATTCCTAAAACAATAAATATTCCTGAAATCTAGTATGAACTAATTGATGACGATGAACGTGTATAAAAACAAAAGTAATTCGAAATTTTAAAAAAAAATAGATAAAATGAAATTGATAAAAATTATCAATAAAATTATTTTTAAAAGAATAAATTAGCGTTAAGACAGTTAGAGGTTTAATAACCACTAAATTTGGTAGGAGAAAAGACAGAGCAATTTACTAAGCATTTTCAACTTTAAGTACAAGCATCAATTTTGTTTTGATATAGTAATAAATTAATAGACTTTCGCAACTGGCTTTAATAATTTACAACACATTTGATAACTTCACCTGAATAGCTTTCCAAAACCACTTAAACATTCAATTTTTTAGTATTATCACAATGACCCTTCGTTTTCCCCGGAAAAATACCTTCTATTTAACTCTCCTCATCCATTTCTTCGACTCTTTTCTTATACTCCTCGAACAATTTCATGAAGTCATCTTCTCCTCCTCCAGATATCTCTTCTCCAGATTTCGCTTCTCCCCTTTTTTCCCTGTCGAAGGCTTCTTTGAAGACATTTACAACTTCTGCAGTCGTCATGCTTCCAGGTTTGTAATTGGCCAAAAGACGTTTTCCTTCTTCCGGGAATCTTTCAGAATATCCTGGAAGTTCCATCATATTCCTTAGTTTATCAATCAAGTCGTCTGTAGAAATGCCCATTAAATTCAGAGAAAAGGTAGTCAGAGAAGCAACTATTTGGTTCAAATCGAAACCCATCACTTGAGATGCAACGGTCATAATAATAATAAAACTAATGCAGTTTTTCATGATTCAGTCTAAAAATATACTTATAAAATAATTAAACTCTAATATCATATGCACTTAATACATTTGGAGGAAAAATGAGAAGGTAGTGCTTATTGAAAAATTTACCAAACAAGAGTAGGAAAGTAAAAATTATTTTTTCTACCGAATGTTATTCCCATGAGGAAAATCGAACTCTATCGAAATGGCCAATTTTTTCCTCATCTATCTCATGCACAATTGTTGCATTTCAAAAGGTTCATATTTCTTTGCTACAGTTTGAAGCGTGTTTCGTTAATTCAAATATTTGAAAATATCCTATAAAGCATTTAGCTATGTATGTTCTTTGTCTTTTGAAAATAAGGCACAAATAAACTTTTATGAGCTGTGCAAAGTTGACGTGACACGTTGACGTAACCTCAAGCATGCAAATTATTATTTTTTTATGATTTATTTTTAAAAATTGCATTTTGATGTTTAAAATACTTTATACGCATCCCAATGCGTTGGATTTTTTGAATATGCTTACGTTCGGTAAGAAAGTTACCCAAAGTGGCACAGATTTTTATAGTTAAGTTATAAGTTGCTTAAAACTTCAATCTCCCCCCCCCCATAAGACGTCATTTTGTGCATGTCAATAGGAAAAAATCCTTATACGTTGTAAATTTTGCTTTAATTTAGACTCTGCTCTAAAATAAGACCTCAAGCTAGAGGGAAAAGGTATCATCATTCCCTAATGTGCAACACCCTCTAATCCATGATCCGTCTACCACTAAGGATATTTCACGTCAGCACTGTGATCGGTGCAAGCCGGGTGCGGATTCGTTTCGACTAGCCATCGCTGAGGTATCGAACCCGGTTCACCTTATTGGAAAGCCAACGCTCTATCCCCTGAGCCATCGCGACTCACATTCGTAAGGTGCGGAAAAAAACAATGAGGAAACAGAAACCTTCTATTAATACATGGTTTTCAAACACTCTTTTTTCAAACACTAACTAAGCAAGGCTAGTAAACACTAATCAAGTATGATTAGTGTTTTAAAAAATTACCTTTGTTTGAGTTTTTAAGTTCTTTGTTAAAGTGAATTATTTTTAGCCAAATGTTAGTGGATTTTTTTATGTTTATACATGTTTTTCGTCATTAAATTATTTGTAAATGAATATTGGTCCAAGATTATAATATATTTTAATGCTATCTTGGTACTATCCCATATCAGAATAGAACATCCTTTCTTGTTTGACAGACTGGTTAATATTTTTTCTAGATGACACTGTTGTGCGTTTGAGATTAGCAAATTTAGGTGATCTCTAATGACTTACAACAGTCACATATACAATGTGTAAAATAAAAAAGAGTACGTTTGGATAATTTTTGATCTTGTCTTACCATTAGAGATATTATATTCGAAGCATATTTCCTACCTTTGAAATTACCTTAATTTAATACGTTTATATTAACATTTAATCATTCATAAATCCTTTTTTAATAAACCAGCTAAATTTTATTCAACTTTATAAGGATTGAATTCAAATATTTCTATTCTTGATAAATGTAACGGTTAACTTTTCATTTCAATGCAGGAGTATAACTAATTATAATTCAATGTCACCACAACTGAATATAAACATGCATTTTTTTAACTTTTTTTTTCTTCAACCACATTAAACATTAGTATGTAAACTTGTCTTTTGGCAGTGTCAATTTTCGATTACGCACCTGCAATGGATCTCTCCTGTACTACAAAGCAGCAATTAAATACTTACTCTTGATTGGAACTTAGTGGCTATAGAACTAAGGGATTTAGGCATCCCTGAGCCACTTAAGCCCGACCGTTAGGAATATTGG